TTTGTTTGTAACATTGTGTGATACTTTAAATTATATGTTTTGTAACAATTGTTTATTTTAATCAATGTATGATATTTAGTTGCATTTTAGTTTTATCCATATTTTTACAGATTTACAGGATTTAAATATTTACTGAAAAAATTAAAAAAAATAAAATTTTTAAAATAAAAAACAAATTCCGGCGGATTTCCGGCGGAAGAGGCCGCCGGTACATTTTTTAATTTTTTTTTTTGAAAATTTTTATTTATATTAAAAAAAAATATTACCGGCGGATTTCCGACGGATATGGCTACCGGTAAATTTTTAAATTTTTTTTTTGAAAATTTTTATTTAAATTAAAAAAAAAGAAAAAATATTACCGGCGGATTTGGCCGCCGGTAAATTTTTAATTTTTTTTTTGGAAATCTTATTTAATTAAGTTTTTCCGGTGAGAAAAATACTCCGGCGGATTTCCGGCGGAAAAATCCGCCGGAAAAGTTTTAATTTTTTTTAATTAAGTTAAATCAAGCTTCTTAATTTTTTCCGGCGAAAGATTTCCGGCGGCCGTAGTCTGCCGGAAAAGGGAAAAATCCGCCGGAAAACTCGACGGAAAAAAAATCAGCGGCGCCCTCTTTTCCGGCGGACAAATCCGCCGGAAAACCCAATTCCCGGCGGATTTGTCCGCCGGAAAAGAGGGTAATTTTGGTAGTGTAATCAACTTACAAAAATTATATAACTATAAAAGAAGAAAGCTTGATGTTCAATATCTTTTCATTTTATAATGTCAATGTTTATTTAGGTGTTTAAAATTATAATATTTGACAATCTATTTGATGGATATATATATATATATATGTATATCTATGCTATATTATAAAGCATATTATATCAATATAGACAAAAAATAAAACGAAACATTAAAATCGAGATGCATCTCGTTGCATTAAACGAATACCCTTATAGTGTTTTTATAATACGTTGCTAGTTATTTAAAATTGAAATTTACTTTTTTGTGTAGCTCATTTGATAGAAGGATGAGATGACTTTGTTCAAATACAAGACAGATCATGGGTTCAATCCCAAACTCTAGCCGTTGAGTGAGACAAAAAATGTTCCGTTACATTAATATCCTTAAATACGGGTTGTAATTGTCGATAATCAATTTTTTATCCTTTTTTAAATAAAAATTTAGTTTAATACGTTAAACCTCAAATTTCTTAATAAAATAATGTCAATGCATCAACATGGTCAACTATCGAATAGAAAAATAAAAACAAAAACAAAAGGTCCTGCCATCTTGTGAAAATTAATTAATGTCTGCTATATCTAGCAAAAAAATTAATGTAACCACATCTCAAAGTAAGATCAAATTAAAGAGACTACCAAAAATATAAGCAACATCGCCGGACAGATCCAACCGACCGCCACCGCTGCCGGAGCTGCACTGTAACGGACCAGGTTGATGCTAGTCTTTTTAACCTTTTCCCCTGTGTTCTCATCGACCTCCACATCAACTCCGACCACCATCGTTCGCTTCCATTGCGCAATAGACTTGAACTTAATCCTGCCGACCAAATCCACCCTTATCACCACCACTCTCCCGCGGTCAGGCTGCACCGTCATTCCTCCGATCAACACCTTGTCACGGACGTGCTTTTCTTTGTAATGTCCCTGGTGAAACCCACGTAAGGGGTACACACCTAAGGGGACACTACTATTGGTGGTTTTGTTTGGGAAATATGAAAAAGTGAGATTCATTGGACGATAGTAAAGTCCCACCACATTCGTGTTGTAAAGCTTTAGACCAAAGTAGATGGTGTTGTTGTTGGTTGTGGCGGTGGCGGCAGCGACAGCGGCGGTGGTGGTGTTGCCGCCGCCGGTGGCAGTCTTGTTAAGAGTAGGAACATAGAATTCTTCGATGGAGATGGTGGGATTTTTTCGATGCAGGCTTTGTATGAACAATATAAGCAACACCGAAAATACCGTGATATAAATCATGATCTTAAGACTTTCAAGACATACCCCTTGGGCCATTTCTCTTTCTCAAGAGGATGGAAATCGGAAACTGTTTTTAGTTTCTGATAGATGTAGTTCATGCTTGGAAGTTTAATATGAATTAATGTTGTGGCTGTTTTTTTTAAATATAATAAGATGCGGGACTTTTTTGGGAATAAGAAAAGGAAAGTGACCATGTGGAAATATTACGTTCTCTTATTCTTCAATGATATCGTGAAATTACATTCCACAAGTTCCGGTTTAAGTGCATTCTTATATAGTAATCACTTAATATCAGTATTTGAACTTTGTTGGAAATTAATAATCTCAAATTTGCAAATAATCCCAAAGAACATATATAGTTTTAAGCGGATTCCAATGGTAAAATGCTATGAAAAGGTTTACGATGGAGAGAAAATTTGTAACAATAAAAGATTGAGAGATCTAAGGCATTTAGACCTTCTAAAATCATCATTGCAACTAGTTGAGAGAAGTTGGCAACAAAAAGGTTAGCAACAAGTTTTCAGGTATATATGGTTGAAAATGAGCTTGAAACCGTTTGCCCCATGCGGTTCAACCTGTATGTGATCAAGCAATGCGATGTCTAGGTCGTGCTCAACAACATGTTGTAACTTTTGTACCAAGGCTTCAAACTTCTATGCTATCTATTAGGCATGATATGGGCCAAAAGGACGTTACTCTCAAGGTGAGAGTAAGACCACGAGACCCTTACGCCGCTTAAAATCCACTACCATCAATAAATAATACAAAAGTCTCCTCCAGATAAAACTAGAGGTAAACAACAATCATCATATTCTTGGAACAAATCATCAAGAAGTATGGAATCAAATCAAAAAGAAAAGAGGGAGAAATATCACTCAAAAAAACAGCTATATGTCGATCAGAAAAAGGATGACTTATGGACCTCCAAACCGATCTCCACCATTCAGAATGTAGATAAAGATGTCGTGAAGCTACTGTCCAAAAATAACGACGATTCAACGGTTCAAACTCCAAAAATAGACGAAAAGCATGACGGCGCTTGCCCCAAAAGTGCAATCGAACTTTTCTCTCATTTTTGTACGTATTTTGTGAACTTTTTCTTCTCATACAAAAACCCTTACCGTTGTTGGGCCATTTATCTATTCTTCATGTCTAGAAATAAATAAAGAAAACTCAAACATTAAATATGCTTTCTTGTTATTTTTTAAAAAATTTGCATTGCATATTTACCAAACAAAAACAAATTCTTTTAACTATGAATTAATAAATTTCATTATACACATGTACTTGGAAGTTTCATTAATGAATGAGTGTTGCTTTAATTAGTAGTAGAAACTATGACATTGCACATATACAAGGTCAACTTCAAATGTGTAGCCAGCTCATCTCCAGGTAGCCTTTGGGATATTTCAACATGTAACAAGTATATAATGAAATAAAAATTATAAATGCATAGATTCGGATCTTGAAATTAGAGGGAGATGTATTTAGACATGTGTCGTCCCTTATTTTATACTCATATAAACTATATATGTTTTTGCTACTAAATAATTCTACTACACCTTTTTGTGGGTTCTTTTTGAAAGCATCAAGTAGTAAATGTGACGTAATATAACAAAGGAGGATTGACTACAAGTTATAAAATATATACACAATGATAGATATTAGATTTGAAGAATGTTGAAAGTTACAATTGTGAATTCAATCTTCTTGTAGATATTAGCAAATTATTCAGATAATCACCAACATGGTGGCCATAGAAAGGATTAATAACCCTGTTTGCATGCCAAAGTAACCAACTCGATCATCCACGCCTGCGGACTCAAAGAGTTTAATGCCTTTGTTTGAATTTTTCTCGCCTGTTTGGCCAACCCTCACGTTGGCCACTACATCTACCGTCTCCTTCTTACGGTATGCAGGTGACGTGAAACCAACTTTGGTGAACACTTGCACCTTGAAAACCGACGTGGTCACCGTCCTGTTGAAGGGTGCTATGCCGCGAGTAGCCACTGTTTCTCTCACATGCTTGCTTCTCAGATTATCTTGGTAAAACTTTGGCACCGTGAATTCTGCTACAACAAAAGTCAACCTGATATTAGGGATGTAAGAAAATGTAATCCGAACAGGATCGTAGTAAGCTCCCATGGCTTTATTCTTGTTATGGAGCTTCATGTCAAAGAAAATGGTCTGATTGGCGGTGGTTGTGGTGGAGGAAATATCTGTTAGGTTTAGGGCGGAGACGTAAAAGTCATTGATGGTGAATGAAGGATCCGATGGGTTGGTGTAATACACGCATACAACGATCACTGCGGTTATGATGGAGGCTATTGATATTACTATGCACCAAACTCGACTGCAATTTGTCATATTAACACCAATCTTGTGACTGCAAATTAAACGAATTGCAGACAGATTTTAATGGAAATGAAAGGGTAGTTAGAGAAAGAAAAGAAGAGGGATTTTCGTCTTAATTATACGGTGGTGGGGTGAAGATGAGGAATGGTCCGAATGGACATGACTTATAGAGATCTTCGACTTTGTTTTGTTATTTATATTATGTTTGTGACTTTGAGGAATTCTATTTATATATTTTATATAAAAATAAATCAGTTTGGTGGAAATTTCCAAATTACATATTAGAAGAAAATAAAAATATAATTCGAGGTCTCTCTCATGTTGGACCTGGTAATCGTACGCGTCTTTGCTTCCAAGAGTATCGATCCTTAAACAAATTACCAGTGAATTGAAGTCTCCATGTCGCTATTATATTCCGATAATAAAAATACTATTATATATAACAAGTACCCAACAACTCGTACCCACGGGTTTGACTTTCTTCACCTATATATGTATATATATATATATATTTGTATATGTGTATATATACATATCTCGATGGAGTGATTAACTCCATATAATCCTATTCTCGCTCTTTTATGTTGAGAATTAAAGATCAGGTCCTATTTGATCACTTTCAATCATTTTCTTTATCCAGTAATCCTGCTTTAGTTTACAATCACAAAAGTTTCTTCCTTTCTTGTCCATATGGCACGCAGTTCCTACTGCTTCAATCTTATGTTTTGCTTATGTTTGACGTCTATTATCTTGGGTCTCGTTGTTTTGATGCCTGTTCTGTTAGTTTTATTCGCATCACCATCTAGTCCCTCCTTTTCAATCAATCTTTTTGATGATCAAACCCTGAACATGACAAAAGCAGATGATTCTCCAGCGAACATGGTTATCCACTTTGATCTCAAGCTAAAAAACGAGAACTCGGCAATAGGTCTTCATTACCCCGATCAACTCAACATCACGTTTTCTTACTTCCCAAATGTATCCATGATTGTTAATTTAGCAGACTACAAGTTGAATAGTTTTTATCAGGGTAATGGGAAGACTAGGCACGTGAGAGACGTGGTGGAAACAAACAGCTTCCCCAGAGTGTTGGAAGGCACAGATTTTATAGTTTTTCGAGTGGATTTGGTGGCTTCGAATAGGTACAAAAAGGCTGGAACCAAGAGGCATAAGGTGGAGTTGGGATGTCTTGTGGGTGTAAATGTTACAGATACCACAAAAATGCAAAGGGGGTTTATTCGATTGGTTGAGCCAGGTCTTGATTCCAAGCTGAAGAAGAAACCTCCACCTGAATATAATGGTGCTTATCTCTGAACCGTGCTCAGGCGGTGCATTAATTAATTCAGTATCGTAGTTGGCATTAACTTCCTTTATTTTCATGTACATGTAAACTATATAACGATATCCCTGATCTCTCATGATGTAATTTGCCTGAAAGAAGAACGTTTGTAAATAGAGTTATTTGAGAATTTGAAGGTTCAAAACTTCAATTAAGAATTAGCTCAACATTTTATTTTTTTATTTTATTTATGATCGATGTCCAAATGGACATTTTTTTATATATAGATATCTTCGACTTTGTTTTGTTGTTTATGTTTGACTTTGAGGAATTTTTATTTATTTATTTTATATACATAATAAATCAATTTGGAGGAAATTTCCAAATTACACACTTACACAGTACTCATGCTTCATGCGTCACAAAATATTTATTTGTGTTTTTATCTAGAAATAACCTTTGAACCAAGTGATCGGGTATATAAAAATATCTCAAAGAACCATAAGGGTCAAAAATATCAGGAGGTCATATATTCAAATTCAAGGGATCTTTGAAGTTATTAGGAGGAAATAGTAGATATTTCTTCTCCAATTTCAACCTCTTTTAATTCGCCGAACGGAATATTTTCTTTTGGATATTGCTAACTGCATCTTTATTTTGAATTAGAATCGTATTAAATCATACATTAAAAATGTAAACAATAAGTCTTACTCTTAATGTATAAAATGAAATTAATAGACAAGTTACATTTAGCACAGCCTCTTCTAAAATATATAACAAGTAACCCACCAACTCGTACCAGGTGTTGACTTTCTTCACCTAAACTCCATATAATCCTATATATTCTCTTTTGGTTTGAGAAAGGTGAAAGATCAGATTCTATATAAATATATTGGATCACTTTCAAAAAATTCCTTCCTTTTTCTATATGGCACGAAGTTTCGACTATGGCTTTGTTTTTTGGTGTATAGGGGTGTTGTGTTTTAGCTTGGGCTTCTTCGTTTTGATGCCGGTCATGTTATCTCTATACTCATCACCTTCTAGTCCCTCGTTTTCAATCAATCTATTTGATGATCAAGCCGTCAACATGACAACTCCCACCAGCTTCATTGCTATCCACTTTGATCTCAAGCTGAAAAACACAAACTCTGCAATTGGTCTTCATTACCCAGATCAACTCAACATCACATTTTCTTACTTCCCAAATGTATCCATGATTGTTAGTTTAGCAGAATACAAGTTGGATAGTTTCTATCAGGGTAATGGAAAGGGTAGACGCGTAAGAGACGTAGTGGAAACAAGCAGCTTCCCCAGAGTTTTGGAAGGAACAGATTTTATAGCTTTCCGAGTGGATTTGGTGGCATCGTATAAGTATAAATTGGCTGGAAGCAAGAGGCATAGGGTGGAGTTGGGATGTGTTGTGGGGGTAAATGTTACCAACGGCACAAAAATGCAAATGGGGTTTATTCGATTGGTAGAGCCAGGTCTTGATTCCAAACTGAAGAAATTAGTAGAAGAATATGATAGTTATTGATCATCGGTGAACTTAATGTACATGTAACTAATTGAAGATATCCCAAAGATCTCCCTGTACGCGATTTCATTTCCTAATTAGAAGAATAGCATTAGTAAATCCTGTTATTACATAATTTGAAGATTCAAAATGTTAATTAAAGACGACTAACTAATTGTGTTTTGTTATCTTCTTTTCTTTTTTATCCAAAAAAAAAAACTTTGTTTTTTGACATTAAAATGAACAAATATGATTGGTGAGTTGAGAATGCTTCTATATCTTCTTCTTACGGATTAATGGTTACAATAATTTCTTTTTTGAGAAGAGGTGATTGACTTCTATGTATGGTTGCTCATCTCGTTCTATGCCAGTTCTGAATTTTCAAATTGCAAATATTAATTTACTATAACGAAATTGAGTTTATAAAACGCAAAAATGTTCAATTGTTAGAATAGACTGCTTAACAAGACATTTTTGAACTTCTTAACAAGTTTTTATTGACACTTCTATAAAAAAGCGTCGTATTTTCTATTTTATAGGACACTACTCGAAAAAAGTTCCTTATAAAAACAAACGTCCTATAAAAAGATATGTTTGTAGGACATTTATCAAATGTGTCATATAAAATAACTAATATGATGTTTTAATTAAAAATGTTCTAAAAAACTTTTTAATACATGTAAAAACGTCCTATAAACTTATTATAACAATTTTATATATGACATGTTATGGTTTAGTTCTATAAATTTAAGACCTATAGAATAATCTATTAGGTTACTTAGCTTATACATTGTTCGTGTCCTATAAACTCGATTTTATTGCAGTGATTAGGTGCAAAAACTTAGTTTAATATATATATATATATATATATATATATAATAATAATTCATTGCTTATTTATTATCAACATTTAATCGATCCTAGTAAAAAATATTTTACGGTTGAGTTTTACCTACCAACCAACCAAAACACAATACTAATAACTATACTTATTAAATGACATAGGAAGAAAACAATGGTTATATATATTTGCTACCGGACGATAAGAAAATACACATATGAGAGCTAACTGATATTACTTAATCTATCTTGAAGATACAAGAAATTCTTATAAGTTGCAAATAATGTGGGGTTAAAAATGTAATAACTTATTAGGAAAAACAAATACTGAAATTGATTATTGATCTAAAATTACAAGTGAATAAAGAATCTTGGGAAATATGTGATCAAATTGCTAAATTAATTATAATAATACCAAGAAAGATTGACATAATTTCAGAATTTTTGGAAGCTCAAAATTGAGGTTTTAAACGGTGAACTTAGGTTAGAAAGTTAGCGAAGTAGCGTAATATTCATAACTGCTTCGCAAGATTAGCTTGTTATCTAGATTTTTCACAATATAATTGCGGGTGCTATATATTTACCAGCTTGTAACTTAAAGCCGTTTGAAATGTATATTCCCACATGCTTCTCATGTTGCAACTGTATCATGAATGACTTTTTTTTCCTTTTTTGTAAACATAGATGTCCGGTTCAACTTGATAAATGACTTAAACATACTCATTTTACTTCCGGTCATAATAAATTGTTGCATATGGGACAAAAAAGTATTTCTATTAAAAAATTACAAAAATTAATGGCCTAGATAATAAAAATTTTGCAATCCTTCTAAACTTAGGGTAAAAAATAATGTGTCCATTAAAATGATTTGGTGAAAAAAATGATGTTTGTTGTAAATTTGGTAACGACTGGAGGTAAAATTTATGGGTTTTTGTCCTCTTTTACTCCATTTATACTGGATTTTTTTTAAATTGCAATTTTGTTTTATTTGACTGGATCAAAAGATTCTTGGGAGAGTTGACTAATTTTAAATCAAGTAGCTACTTGTTGCAAGCGAAAGTCATTGGGTTTGGCAACGGGTTTACAACGAATAGGTCAGAGAGTAGGGGATTCACTTTCTTTATTTTTTATTCTTGAAATTTATTATTTTCTTGGTGAAGAAGGAATTGCATTATATATAATACAACTAGAGTTTAAGAAAATGATAATTATAATGATATAGTTTTCTTACAAGATCAAAGTATATATATATAGTAAGATATATAGTTGACTAATTTAAATTAAGTAATTGGTATAATATATTGTGTAATATAGCAAGGAGACTTGAATGACATGTACACACTAAGTTTCCGAGACAAGTTCATGTCAAATATAAACAGGTTGAAATTTCATATGTGAAACGAATTTTATTATAGTGAATGTTAAACAAATCATTTGAATATTAAAACATTTATTTTATTAAAAAGAAATTAAATAGTACAGGATACTTCATCTCAGAAATCATGAAAAGAATCGATGCGAAGACAAAATTATCATTCTTTAGGGTAGGTAATAAAGTGGATGAGATTTGATAAATTGTCCTATCTCAAATCCAAATGCCTTTAATATTTAAAAATATATTCTAAACATCAAATTTTTAAAAGGAAAGCCGTTAACGAATTCCTCATGTAATAATATATGCTTTCATAATGGTTTTGATTTCGTGACTACATATGGTATTTGCATAACAATAAAAATCATCTGGCACAAAGCTTTTTATTGTGTCCACCTAGCTCACAATACATATTCTCTCAAGTTATTTGATACGTTTGATGTTATACGGGTTTCATTTTATGAGCTATAATAATCTATACAAACATTTTTTTAATTATAATGTTATGTTCTTGTGTCTTTAAATGTAAAACATTAACATATGCTCAAATACTTCTAGCCTTTCATAAACATATTCAAATATATTAACATAGAATTTTTTAAAATATGTTATATTACATAAAAGTATCAGCTGCATTTTAAATACCTTGAAAAGGGTATCAATAATATAGAAAAAAATACAAGGCACCTCTGCTGTTTACTTCATTCCTTGATCAACAAGTCTTAAAATGAAAAATATTTAAGCTTACTTAATTATGATGTCATAAGATTTTGTAATTCAATCAATTATTTGAATACAACACGCGTTTATACAAATACTTGAATTTAAATAGATTTTTCCTTCGTTGTCATTATTAAGTATATATAATTCATGAACGACTTGTCGTTTGGAATGTTACCTTTAGTATCCGTAACTGAAAATATTTTGTTACAACTTCTTCGGTTGTACAAGGGTTTTCGGTGGTCTGTTACTGAAAAAGGTCTTCAGAAATCTTTCGGTGAATGTTTTTACACACAAAAGTTCTGACCGACAAATTTTTGCGATGGATCATCAACATTTATAACTTTTACCGACATTTTACCAAATGATTAATGTTTAATTCTATCTTGAAAATTATTTTCGTAAGGATTTCTTGACTTCAGGTTTTATTTAATTTGACTTCTATTTTTTTAAAGAATATTGCAACTTCATGTTACTGATTTGACTATGTCAAAATATATATTCTTATCCCCTAGGAAAGTTGGCTAATTTAAATTAAGCACCATGCATGTATGCATCTTGCAAGAATTTCTGGTAAGGAATTTAAACAACTAGATTAGAGAGTTGACTATTTAATTCTCTATTTTGTTCTTGAGATTTATCGTTTTTAGGGTTTTCGGTCCTTCGGTTTTAAAATTTTATTTGACCCAATCAAACCATCCATATATAGAGAGTTGACTGATTAATTGATTTAAATTAAGTAATTTGCAATCTTGCTATATATATATATGGTCAAAAACTTAAAAAAATGCCATGCAGGGAAGACTTCGGCGATGTCGTGTATACTTCCATCCTTATCACATGCTCCTCGGTGGCGTAATTAGTTGAATTTCATACCCATCGTGTTAACAGAATTTTTTGAAGTCAATGGTAAACAAATTACTTGTATTTATATTTATCTTCATTAATTTTAATTTAAGATAATACGTACGAAGATTTCCGAGAGATTTCTACTGAATAATCAAGCAAGGAATCAAAGTGAGATGGCGTCGTTCTCTCAGCTAGGTATGCATAAAAAGTTCTAAGGCTCGTTATTGATGATTAACTAACCGAGAAAATTTAATTAAATTGTTTGATTATCGATTATATATATATATATATATATATATATGAGTGTTATTATGCAACCTTTTACATTTGTACAACTATTACAACTCAATCTTAACAGTCCATTTATTTTGATGAATATGTGATTTTATAAAAGTTATGATTGTTTTACAATATAAAGTATTGATCCACTACAACAAAATCGGGTTTATATGACACTTTCGCTTTCTAAGCGTCCTAATAGACCTCTTTATAAGACTTAGTTTATAGGATCAAAAAAATAAAACGACCTATCTAAAGGTGTTGTAATAAGTTTTATATGACGTCTTTGACATCGTAATAAGTTTTTTAAAACATTTTTAATATAAAGCGTCCCATTAGGAACTTTATAGGACAATATTTGAAAATTGTCCTATAAAAAATCGAGTTTATAGGACATTTTCTCAAAAGTGTCATATAAAGTTGCTAATGCGACACTTTGTATTAAAAATATCCTAAAAAACTTGTTAAGACACCCAAAGACGTCATATAAACTTATTACAACATCTTTAGATAAGACTATTAATTAAGTCCTATAAAGCGTTCTGTTAGGACACTTAGAGATTGAGGGTGTCCTATAAACCTAATTTTGTTGTAGTGATCATAATTAATGAACCTTAGTCATCTTCCATAAATATTCAAATCATAATAAATAAATTCTCATCATTTCCATAAATATCTCAATTGAGTAGGTTGTATTGGTTATACAAATGTGATGAGTTGCATTTGAAATGTCTTCTCTCTCTTTATATATATATATATATATATGTATGTATGTATATATATATATATATATGTATGTATTAACATAATTAAGGATGAGTTATTTTACAACATATTTAATTTGTACAATCAATACAACCAAATCATAACCATCCAATTATAAGGCATCCCAATGAAAAAAAAAATTCAAATTTCTTTTTGATTTTTTTCCTAAATTAAAAAGATCTTGCATGGAGGGGTAATAAGGGAAATTCATATTTAACACAATCTTTATTATGACGAATATGAACTAGACGGCTTATGGTGTAGTGTTCATCAAAAACCCAAAATTTGGCTTCTATTAGCATATAATTCAAGAAAGAAGAAAGAGAGAAAATATATTCCACAATAAAAGCCTTAGTTGGTAGACATAGTACGAATATTAAAAAGAGAGAGATGAAGTTGCATTAAATTAGCATGATAAGTACTTGACTTCTTTATTGGATTGCTTTTAACATAAACGATTAGAAGCTGTACGCGTTGGAATCTACACAAGTAGTACTGTTAAAATATATTCAATTCTAATTAATATATATATATGTAGTAATCAACTTTGATTATAAAGGGCACCATTGCATTGAGAGATGAATATTGATCACCATTCGCAAAGGAAAGTAATTAAACACCTTTAATTTGTGTTCCCCGCCCAAATGGCGGACGATAGTTTCTCCATAGATAGTGGCAACTCGTGGTGTAACCTTATTTTGGTCATTATCATCTTCTTCATCTTCTTTTCGATATATAAAACCCGTGAGCTCCCAAGTATCCATGTCGAAGAATTTTACGTTCCCACCTTTAACTCCACCGCCGATTCCACCACAACCAACAACACCATCTATATCAACCTCAGACTCAAAAATAGGAATCCTGTAACTGGCTTGTACTATGACGATCCTCTCTATTTCAACATATCTTTCGTCCCCAAGGACCAAACAAAAGCCATCTCTTTAGCTGAATTTGGGCTGCATGGATTCTACCAAGGTAATGGAAAGGCTAAACACGTCAAAGGCCTGCTGATGACCCGTGGTTTGCCACTGGTGGGATCACCGGGCTCAAACGGGACAAATAATGAGACTCGATCAGTGCCCCCACCACCAGGGGTTTTCAGAGTTGATTTCTTTGGAAAAGTGAGGTACAAGTTAGTTGGGTACCACCAGAGACATCCCATGTTGTTGGCAGCTAATGTGGTGGTCGATGACAAAACTGGTGTAAAAGTTGGAAACAAAGCTATTAGACTGGTGAAATCCGGTGCTAGCGATCTTAGACGAACGATGCTTTTCCCTGGGTCTATTTTGTTTGGCATGCTACTTATTTAATTAGATGTGATACTTTTTGTTTTTGCTGGAATGGTTTTTCCTTGTTTGTTACGTTAAATCTTTAATTTGCACTTGGATTTTATTTGCAACTCTTAATATATATGGGTTCAAAGTTGGTCTTTGGTTTGTCAAACGCAATGTAAAGCTATCACACTATTGAATAAAGAGTTCCACATAAGGTTTCTATCTTCATCAAAAGACTTCATTAGGGTTCCCCTGAAGGGATGCCGGTAATTATTACCATGTTTCTTTGATTCACATTTTTAAATTAATACTAGCTAGATTTGGCTTTTACAGCAGCAATAAACCAAATCTCTCATCAAAAGACTTCATTAGGGTTCCCCTGAAGAAATATAGTTTTTAACCACAAGGATGGTGTCTGATTGGTTTGAGCTTGACTCCAAAGGTAAAAAGTATCAGGAGGTCTCAAGTTCAAATCCAATGATGAATAAAAAACTCTTTGTGGCCATGGAGGTTCAAATGCGGTGACTCCGGGCTATCTGTAAAGCAGGTGGTCGCCCTGGAATTAGTCGGCTCACATAGCGGGTTGGATATACAGGTTAATAAAAAAAAAAAAAAAAAAAACATGTAAAACATAAAAGTAAAAGGAACACAAGATATTTACATGCAAACCTCAAAACAGAAGAAAAACACGGATGGAGGGGACTGTTGAGAAATCCACTATATCAGCTTGTATAAGATTTGGAGAATGAAAACAACAAATGGAGCATGGAATGCATGTGGGTGAAGCTAGTCAGCTAGAGTGGATGAAGAGAGAGTATATAATGTGCAAAAATTAGGACTTATTTTGTGCTAGCTCTAAGATCGCGTTAACCTCATCCTACGCATTAGTATGAAGTATGCTACTAATTTCATGAAGTTCCGGTTTTGATTTTGGGTTGATCATCGTCACACTTGTTTGGACTGCATGTCGTGACTTAAGTTTTATATATAGGACAACCAGTAATCTCTCCCCAACAATTTTTTTCGCTAAACACATATATGTGTCACTTTCAATTTGGGTGCTTTCATTATTCTATGTCAAAACTAAAACGAACAACTTAAATTTTCTTCCCTGCAATAGTTAAGATTAATGAATGATCAGTTCATCTCTTAGTTAAAATTTTGCAATCCTAACCATAATCTCGTACCAGCACTTTAATGGAAGAAAAAGGATGCCAGTTATTTTCCTTTTTCACATACTAGTTGTTGCGAGAATTAATATCTCAAACAAGCACTAAGGTTAGTTGTTGCGAGAATTAATATCTCAAACAAGCACTAAGGTCCCAAACCTAAACAATTCTAGGGTAATGCTAAGAATTAATAATAAGGAATTCAAATAGGATCTCGAACGTGTGTTCAACCACTATCAAATTTGTAGAGATAGTTGCAGCTCCTTTCAGATAATGTAAACTTATAAAAGTATATCTATATCTATATCTATAAATATTACATATATATACTATATAGCTTTTCTGCTCTTTGGAGTTGTGATGTTCCTGGCTTTTGCTCAACTGTAGATTCTGCATGCAGCTTTCTATAAGGAAAAAGTCTTGCTGACCTTTTCTCCTCAAAATATATAATTGAAACTACGATTTAATAATTCCCACCAAATGATATGCTAAACAACGGGCATGTGCCACTGAATTTTGGTATACTCCAACTACTTCTGCCAGCTACTTGAAAATCGTCAACTCTTGCAAGAATATATAATTTTACTGCTGTAAGTTATAATCTCTAAAAACTCTTTTCTTTGACTTTATGATGAATTTCGCTGCACCATCTTTACTCCATTCATCAAAATGTTTTTGAAAATTATTTTTTTATCTAAATATAAAAAAATGAACTCAACATTTTCTAATCAATGAGATTAATTAATAATAAGAACACCCATTTGAAAGAGGATTAACACGGCTTTTATCCATATATGTACTACCATAATATATCTTCTGTGTCTTCCATTCCATTTCTTCCCTTTACGTTCTTATAAACAGATTAGTTTTCTGTACGTATTCCTATCCATGGCGCAAGCTGATGATGTTGGAGATGCGTGTTGTGATGTGATTTATGAAGAGTGTTGTCCCAAGCTTCCTCCAAAACTTCAAGTCTTCCTTACTTGTATGGTAACTCCTCTACTAGTTGTTCTAGTCGTCATGCTTGTTCTATATGTCAACCCTAAGAATCCTGAATTTTCAGTTGAGAAATTCTATGTTTCCGCTTTTAATAAAACATCCAGTAATGCCACAACCAACACCATATCCTTTGACATTAAGCTCCGCAACCAAAACAAGGCCATCGGCCTTTACTATGATGATCCTGTCAACCTCACTTTCTCATTTATCCCTAGAGAAACCAATAACCAAATCATATGGAAATACTCGGTGCCAAAGTTTTACCAAGGAAACGCTCAATCTAGAAGACTCAGAGATGTAATCCTGCCACTTGGGGCACCCGAGATTTCGGTTTTTAACCAGACATTGGTGGCTGAACATGCAAGTGTCTTGCCTTCTGGGGTGATGACGACTGGGCTTGAGCCTTTGCTGTATTTCAAAGTTGATTTTGTGACTAAAGTGAGGTTCAGATTGATCGGGAAGCACCATGCAAAAGAACTGGTGGTTAGTGCTGATGTGCCTATAGGCGCAAACACAGGTGAGAAATATGCCAAGAGGGGGATTCAGGCGAGTGCGGTGTTAAGAATCGGTCGGGGTGGCGCTCACGTGGCTGTGATGGTGGTGCTAACTGCCATTAACTTCATAATTATGTGATTGGGGTGTGCTCTCTGCTTCAAGAAAATTTGTGGAGCATTTACATTGTTTAGCTCAAGTGTTATTGTTTAATTTTTAATTTCCTAACCGAAGAAGTTTGAACAATATAGTCTGTCAAAATGATTGAGATTTTCTTTGTAAATATACCGTGTTATTATGTCCGATAAATTAACAAAAGAACTTTCATCTAAAGTAGAATTAAACTTTAATTACATAGGATTAATTAGAGAGAAAAAAAAGAGAAGATAAAAATCTCCAAATTTAAAGAAAACTCTAAAACTTTGTATTAATCATCAATAAAAGACATTAAATTAAGTGTTTAGGAGAAAAATAATATTTTATTATATATATTGAATATTTTAATAATATAATTAATTATATAATTGTTAAAAATAAAATAGTTGTCGAAGTTAAATATAATATTTTTTAGAAATTTTAACTTTTAATATTTTATTTTTAAAAATAATTATAAACGATAATTTCAGAATCCTTGAAACAATCGGAGCCCTCTTAATACTAATTTGTCTCCGATTATGACTAGGCTTTGTATACTAAAATTCTAAAGCATGTGTCATGGGTATAAAAATCTGTCATCTTAGAATCACCCTCTTGTTCAATCACAATTAGATTTTTAAATATTTTTAATTTACAAAACATAGTTTTTCTAAAATAAATAGTTAAAAGTCAAAAAATACCAGAAATAATATATTTTCATGTCCAAAAGCTTCTCCAATTTAGAGATTGTAATTTTAACTATATTATAAAATATACAATAAAATTAATAGAATATTATTTTATTCTTTTAAAGTTTTAATTTCTATAATTTTCATTGATAGGAAAACTAAAAAATTGTTACTCTTACCTAAATAATCATTTTTGTAGGATTTTCTATATTTGAATAATTTCGCCATCTTTCTTTTATTTTTAATATTTCAAAAAAGTTTATAGAATTAGTTGGAGATGCTCTAAAGTATAAAGTATAATGACATAAATGTCTGTCTTTGCATCCCATAGAATAATTTAAATATGTTAATTAAATTTCGATTCCAAATACCAAAATTCTTGAATTTGCTATTATATGTAACCAATGGTCATAGAAGCCGATTTTGAGCATGTTCAAGATCATACAAAAGGCTAAACAAAGCTATTCAAAATAGCAAAATGATATAAAAGGATTAGATGTAAAAGTTGGTGATTTTAGTATCATCAATTATTTTGGTGTGGTTGTGATTCACTCTAGATCAATTAAGGTGATTAGACAAATATAAGTGAGTTAAGAGATGCAAAATGCACACTTACAAATGTCGTTTCTAACATCTTAGATCGCCATAAGGCAGGATCAAGGGGGTCGCATCCCCTTGCGGGGTTCCAAGAGGAGACTTTTGGAATCTATGAAAAGTCAAACTCAGTGAAAATTTCACCAAGTATAAATCTAACGAATATGATCAGAGCTTGGATCCTTTTGATCAGAGCTTTGAAATCACCTTGGAAATTACCTAACCATTTAAGTCTCAATGATGCACTCACACTTCAGTCCTAAGTCATAATCAATGGTACCAAAGATCTGAACTTTGAGTTCAAGACTTGGGAAAATTGACCAAGTGTTATGTCTGAACCTTCTGTTCAGATTAAGTCCTAAGTCTGAGCTAATGAAGTCAGAGGTTTGAACCAATGTAATCAGACTTCGATCTCTGAACTCTGATTCAATTGTGACCGCTCTTCAATCTTATCCATCAACGATTATTATCGTTTAACTGCTTGTAACCGTCGATCTCTCATTTAAATATGTATAGACGAAAATTTGGGAATATGTATTTCGATTCCACAACTTTTAAAAAGAGGAAATTGAAGAATTATCCTAATACGGAAATCATGAACCCAAAAATATAAGGATCAAATTAAAGCATTTGAAATGTGTTTCACACACAATTCTTGTGATTATCAAGTCCCATCATATATCAATCTCCGCAACCCCATGTATAACAGAATCAACAAATAAACCGAATAAATATCATCAAGAATGAGGAAGTAGGATATATACATATATCTCTTTCACCTTAAACGGTAAAGACACTATTTTCGTGATCGCTCCCTACATGACTAACCATAAGATCAATTCTTGTGTTAAGAAAATATATATTAAATCTAACCAATAAATCATAACATGCTCAAGAAGGCTATATAATTAAGGAAATTTCAGCACAACATATACATTTCTAGGGGAATCTAACCAAATATTTATTTGTAACGTCATCTAGATCCCGAATATATATTACAAGCAACTACGTCAAGTGATACTTGCACACATAATATTTGGAAGCGAAGCATTTTACATCACAAAGACAAAAATGCAACACTTACAAATTTAACAGGCAATTAATAACAGTCTATACAAAATGTTAACAAACAACGCAGTTAAAAAAGTGGTGAACGTTGAGGAACACATTTTCGCCCATGCAATTTTTTGATGATGCCAGTAGTTGTTCTCTTCTGATTCGAGCTTTGCAGTCCCTGCACAGCCTCCATGCATCCAAAATTTGCTCCATCACCTGCTGTAGCAATCATTGAGTTTTCTTCAACCGAGCTTTCTGTGGATACGAGACCTTCTGCAACAGAACCAGATGCAAGTGAGCTCTGTTCAAGTTCCTTCGAACTATAGGCGTATACCCTTTGACCACCTTTGGATGCGGTCACATTATTGAACTGTTATCAACAAAGATGAAATCATGAGCAACTCTCCAACCCAAATGAGTCGCACATGTACAGATATATAAATCGGCATTAATTCGTTAAATGCCACCCCAAGATGAGGTCCGTGAGGGGTAAGATGTAGGCCCGCCTACCACAAACAACAGAACAATTGTTTCCATAAAGACTGCCGCTTGTGAAAAGTGGACGAAAGAGATACATGCATATAAGATAAGTTTAGAAAAGCTAGTTAGGGGTAATCAGATGCAGGTTAAACATAACCAAGGTAAGAAACTCCCCACCCTTAGTCTGTCAAACTTAGGGCTATAGTAACACATCCCAACAAAAAACTCACTAACCCTATTCCCCGCCCTCTACCTCTCCAGCTCCCTTCCATCTGTCTATGCTACAACAATCATCGTCAGCAAAAACTCCTATCGGATCTCAAGCTCCTATTAGACATCAAATGCATAAACAATGTCCATGTCCAACCTGAATTGTTCATCCAATGTCTTCCTCACCCTAGATCTCCTTTGCCCCCTCAACTGTCACACACTATAATTTCACCAAACCGCCATATGTCTCCAACGAACGTGACCAAACCACTTCAATCTTCCCTCCCTTCATTTATCTTTGATAGGTGCAACTCCAAACACTGACAAAACTACTGCAGCCACGGCAAGGTCACAACCGTTTCCAAGTGTGGTTTAAGGAGCAAATTCTTATATAATATATAAAATGTTAGAACCATAGCTCATAACGTATTAAGGGAAAAAGGAAAAAAAAGGAAAAAAAAGAAAAATTATAAAAATAAATTTAAAAGAAGCCTTCTTGAGGTTCTTGGGTTGGAGGTCACTGTTAAACTCAACAAAGATCATAAAATCGCACAGCTCCAACAAACGTTCATATTATTTTCAGTCAAGTTTGCTGTATCCGATTATGTTGTAACCTCTATATATTTCTTCCTTTCTATTGGTGATCAAAGAAAGTTGAATAGAAAATCCATTATTGAAGATTCCCATGGTACCGAAGCTTGAGTTGATCCAGAACAATCCTTGCTTGTTTTCCCAGCCCTGATCTCATTTCAGTTAATCTTCATACACCATGACAACCTCTGATGCTGCTCTGGTTTCTGAAACAACACCGTTCATCAACCCACCCAGTTTTCCATCTCATAAGATTGACCCCTATTTGATTCATCTGACCTATAGTCCTACAGTAATTTTCTTTTCTCCAATCTTGCAGGGAGATAACTATATTTGTGGGTTCATGGAATCTCGAAGGCATTGATGCCAAAAGCAAGTTCAGTTTGGTCGATGGCTTTCTTCCTCCACCAACTGAACCAAACGAGTTGAGTTGCTGGAAATGCTGTGATGATTTGGTGGGTAGCTGGCTATTGAATTTTGTCAGTCAAGAAATACATCTCAGTTGTAAGTTTGCCTGACTTTACAAAAATTGTATGGAACGATCTAACAGTAAGATTCTCACTCAAACACACCAAACTTTATCAACTTCGCAATGCTATTTTCTTCAAGGCAAGAGGGTCTTCCCCTCCAAAGCCATCACAGTCGTCTCAGGGGTTTGTGGGACGAATCTCACACTTCAGCTCCGACAGAGCCTTGTATTTGTGGGGATCACAAGATATCAACTCCAGCAACACTCTACAAAAAACACTAAATTTATGGGCCTATCATTTTAGCGTGTGAAATTCTCACACTGAAAATATGCAGCGTGAAACCACAAACAGGTATGGTGTTTATATCTCTCATCGGTTCTGTTTGGAATTCAAGTGATCGAGGCTTTAAGCTAAACAGAAATTTGTCTTTTTCTTCAAATATTATATGATATATGAGTTCTCAGTTTCAAAATCATATTTTTGATTTGATTTATTTTTGTTTTTGGTTGGGGTTAGATTTATTATTCACTTTGACTTGCGAATGATAGTATATTACTGAATTCATTCTAATAGATTTATATGTCCTAATTGTTCATAAACAAAACATTTTGATTTTTTGATTTAGGTTTTGGAGTTGGCAGGCAATGATGCAAGGGATAACAAGGCACATAAGTTGGTAGTGAGGAATTGATGAAGAACTTAGCAGGTCGTTGGGCTCTTTGACAATTGCAAATGGGAGTGTTTTTACCAAACATTAATCACACATTGCTACCAAAGAAGCTTGGTAAGGATAAAAGTGAGATTGGTTCTGCTTCCCAACAGTTCCACACATAATCTGCCGAAAAGTAATGATACTATCTTGGTAGACTTTATCTACCCAACACTTGCCTTCTATCTAGTCGGCAAGTTAACATTTGGAACCCAATGCTAACAAGTTTGTAAAATTATTTACTTGGGTGTTCCTTTTGCAATCCAAATTGTTACCGTGGCTCTATCTTGCCGCATTTTGGCAGTATAATCAATATTTGGTTTATGTAATTGGGATTTTATCACAT